ATGGGTTCCAGCTGGAACTCATCATCAGCAAGCCCCCAGATCAATTCACAGAGGGCCTTTTCCACCTGACTTTATTCCTGAAACGATTAGCACCTTTTTTTACTTGGCTCTTCGCTCATCTCTTCTCAGTGCCTCTTAAATGTGACTGATGAAATAAGAGTCCTCTCTCTTATTCTATTTAAGCCAGAAAACTTGCCCCTCCTGCCTCTTCCTGGATTCCTATTTACTGAATAAAATTCCAGTGGACACCAACCTCTTGTCTCTCATCTTCAATAGTCATTTTTCCCCCTTGGGCGGAAATGATCAAAATGAGCGTCAAGTCAAAAAGACATATAACAGGGAGATAAACAGCAACTGCAAACTGTTTGAAAAGAGTGAGAATCCTGTTTAATTGTGGAGGATGAGGGAGAGAGACAGAGTGGTGTCATTCCCATGCACCATGGCCATAAAGTGAGAACAGACTTTGAAAAGTTTGAAAAAGGAAGGAAGGAAGGAAGGGAGGGAGGGAGGGAGGGAGGAAGGAAGGAAAAGGATATGTAAAGTAGGCAAGGGAGAGAGTGGTCAGTTGGAGAAGATAGCAAACAGGACAATCTCCTTTTTTGATTATCTCAAAATTGACCAATTAGTGTCCCAACCACGGGGTTAAACCACCTGCCCATGTTCACAGCCCCATCCACACTGTGGGGAGAAGCCATCAGGACATAGAGACAGGGACTGGAACTCAAACTCTGCCCAGGACAAAGAGGGATGGGTGGGTTGGGGAAACCCTGATTTAATGCACCGATGGTGCTTGATGACATGATGGCTGCCATTTGTTAAGTACTCTGTGCCGCACACCCTCACTAGCACCTTGAGCTCCTAACTGCTCAGCCCTATAAGGTAGGCTTTGGCACTCATCCCAGGTTACAAAACAGAAAATTGAGATTCAGAGAATTTAATGACTTCCCAAGGCCATGCTCCTACAGGTGTGCCAGGGTTCAAATTCAGATCCATCCTCCCCCCACCAAATCCCCTGGGGTAGTGTTGCTTGACGGCAGAGGGTTGTCAGCCAGCATCAAATGAAAGTAATTATATGGCAAGGGCTCTCTAGAGGAATATCTGAGCAGAGTTGTTCCCTACAGGTAACATAACAGATCCTCCCAGTTCCACCTCAGCCTCAGCCTCCACTACCTATTCTAGTTGGGGCCCTTCATTCTTCCCAGCTCAGCATCTCCCAGCATATCCCTGGGACCCCACCTGTCCCTGGCATTGGCCCCCCTTTCTCACACATGGGTCATGGCAGCAGCAGGAAAGGTGTCCCTGGCCTCTGACTCCTTCTCACACCCCGCCAAGCCTTCTCTGAGAACTCCTACCCACACCAGTGCCTCCACCTCCTGCGTGACTTCCGGTGGCCATGTTGGGAACCCATCTCCCCCAGCCTGGGACCAGCTACGATTTCAGAATCTGAGCAGAGTAACTGTTCGTTAACCAGATAAACCAAGGGGAGCCAAGTCTCTCTGAGAGCACCAGAGGATGTCTTCAAATACCTGCCAAAGCCCCGGAGCCAGTGCCAATCCACACCTGGGATCCCTTGCACTGTCTCCTCTCTGCAGTCTCCGTCCTGGAATTGTGATGTGGGTCACGTCTCCTCCCCCTAGAGGCCCTTGATGTGAAGCAGCTCCAGGGGAGCTTGCTAACACCTGAGACATCTACTCCTCGCACCCCAAATGCAAACCCATTCTTAATCATTAGTTCAAAGCTTACTTTTCTTACCAGTGGTTGGGGAGGGGAATGAGGAGTTTTTTAAGATGCAGTTTTCGTTTTGGAATATGAGAACTTCCTGGAGATTAACAATGTGATGATCACGTATCAGTGGGCACGTATTTAATGCCTTGATGATATAGACTTCAGGTGTTTAGGATGGTAAGTTTTATGTGATGTGTATTTATGTGTATTTTTTGATGTTATGTATGAATGAACCCCTATTTCTGCCTCCTGAGTCCCCTCTCAGCTGACTTTCCCCATCCTGTGTCACCTCCCACCACTTGCCCACAATGCCGCCCATTTTCCTTCCCCTCCACACTGGCCTTTCTTCTCTTCCCACTCCCTGTGTCTTAGCTTTCGAGCACTGTGGCAAAATACATGAGATAATTAACTTATACGGCGGAAAGGTCTGTTTTGGCTCACAGCTTGAGAAGCTTTCAGTCCATGGTCAGCTAGTCCATTGATTCCAGGCCTGTGGTGAGACAGAACATCATGGCAAGACACATAGTGGAAGAAGCTGCTTAACTGATGGTGGCCAGGGAGCAAAATGAGAGATAAGAAGGGATAGGGGTCCCAGTATCACCTTTGAGGGCACACCCCTAAAGATCTAACTTCCTCCCATTAGACTCCACCTTCTAAAGGTTCCACCACCTCCCAATAGTACCACAGGCTAGGGACCAAGGCTTAACCCAGGAGCCTTTGGGGGGACACTGAATGTTGAAGCAATTGCACTCTGCATTCAGTGGCTCCCAGGAATTTCCTTCTTAAAATCAGACACTTTTCACTGCAACCACTACACTATCCCACGTTTCCCTTCAGTTCCAGTTGACACACTTTTACTAGGAAGCTCTCCTAAACGGTTCAGAGCCACCAGAGGCTCAGTGCAGAGCCTCTTCCACACTGTCACGCCCTCCACCGTGTCTTGTGCGGTGCAGAGCACTAGGATGAGGGCAAGGACGTAGCCTTTCCTGAGAACTCCACCAAGGCCTGCTCAGTGTGAGTCTGCAGTTGCCCATCCCTGGGGAACCCAAAGATGCAACCTCGTAGGCTCTCTCCTCAAAAAAGGTGTTTTAAAATTATTGTGCTAAAAGATGCATAGCATAGATTTACCATATTAACCATTTTTAAGCACACAGTCCAATGACATTAGGCACATCCACATTGCTTTGTTGCCATCACCATCATCTACCTCTAGGACTACAGGGTGCTCCAATTTCAATATCAAGGCTCATGTAGTTTCCCAAACTAAAACTCTGCACCAACTAAACACTAACTCCCCATGCCTCTTCCCCCAGCTCCTGTAACTACCACTCTACTTCTTTTCTCTAAGAATTTGATTACTCCTGGTACTCTGTATAACTAGAACCACACAGGGTTAGTTCTTTTTTCTGGCTTACTTCAATTGGCATAATGTCCCCAAGGTTCATCAATGTTGTAGCAGGTGTCAGAATTTCCTTCCTTTAAAAAACTGAATAATGTCCCACCTTGTGTATTGATCACATTCTGGTTATCCATTCATCCATGGATGTCACTTGGGTTGTTTCCACCTTTCAGACAGTGTGAATATTGCTGCTTTGAACACTGTTGTATAAATATCTGTTAAGAGTCCCCACTTCTAATTATTTGGGGTATATACTTAGCAGTGGATTTGCTAGATCATATGATAAATCTTTTATTGATTTTTTTTGAGATCAAGAAGCTTCCAATAACCCAAGAAGACAGAATCAACATACACAAGTTCATTCAAGACTGAAGAACAGAAGGAACTTTCTAAGTCCTTCTAGAAATGAGAAAGCCAGGACATGGTAGCTATGCAAACCTTGACTCTATCACCAGGAATGAGTTGGAGCACATGCCTTAAATCTCATTGAGCCTATCTGTCAAAGTGGAATCTATAGGATAGAACCTCGTTTCTACTCTAAGATGCACACTGTCCTCACATCTTAGCATCTCTAAAATCAGCCTATGTCGGATAGCAGGCTGCATTTTAATTAAAGCATTTATTCTTCCTTAACAGGACATAAAAGAGTACTTCATTCTTCGTGCAACTGATGGAGTCTTGGGCTCCAAATACAGCACCAGGAAGGAGAAAACCAATAGTCAAATTGGTACTCATAACTTCAATTTTCTCTTGTGAACTTGTGAGGCAATGACTTTATAAATGCAACTGAAGGTTCAAAAAGAGAGCTGATAAAGGGTTTGACCCACTGGGGAAGATTTCTTAAAGAAGAAAAGACTTGACCTGGACCATGAAAAGGATGGATAAAATTAAAGGCAAAGAGATGAGGATGATTCAATCCTAATTGAGGGGAGATGAGAAGAAGTTAGTTATATTTTCATATGATTAGCTGAATCAAACTAGTGCAAAAACTCAAAACTCAGTTCCATATAAACAAACAATTCACTAAAACACAGACCTGTTCTAACCACACAAGGTAACTCTCTCATGTTACCTCTTTATAGTCCCATCCCACTGTAATTCCTTTTACTTTTGCATCCTGGTCCCCTAGGCAACCACTAATTTTTTCCTCTCTATAATTCTGAAATTTGAGCATATCATATAAATGGAAATCATACAGTATATAACCTTACCAGATTGCTTTTTTTTTTTTAACTCAACGTAA